CAGCAATGGAGACACATTTGGTAAACTAAACCAAATTTGAAAGATTTCATGACATACTATTTTTATATTTCTAACAAAGAAATGCCTCTCTGATATTTACCTTTGTCTCTAGTGAAAATTATATGCAATTTTTTCATATTAAATTGGCATTTAATATAAATTCTAAGAAAACTTATAGAATAACTCTGAGTATCTCTGAGGGTTTAGAAATTTCCCATCACTATAGTTTGCTGTAAATTCAGTCTGCGACTTAAATTTCTCCATAAGAAATACTATGTTAAAGTGAATTACTATATTCCCTATTGCATCAGTACCCAAAGCACAGAAATTACATACAGGACAAGGAAACTAAGGAAAAACTTTGACCATATGTCAGGATAGGCCAGAATCAGATGACTGACAGAGGCTGGAGTTGAGCTGCAACGGGAAACACAGAAAACTCTATGGCTATGATTAAAAGAATTAACAGTACACAAAATAATTAAGATTTAATTTCTTCCAGTACAACAAGTTTGCTAAGGCACTACAATTTTTATTTGATCACTAAAAACAAACAAGCAAACAGAAAAATAAATGGTTTATTCTTTTACAACTGTGTTTTTTTTTTTTTTGCTTTGTTTTTGTTTTTTTGTGGGGGGAGATTTTTGTATACAGCATGAGCGCTCAATGGAGAGACAGAGAGAGAAAGTGAGAAATCACCTCCCTCAGGGAGGATGGCCACTCCACAATCCTATCTCCTCCATCTCTTCTTGGGCTTTTGGGTATGCATGTATATGAACTTGATGTGAATTTCAAGCCTCCAGATCTGAGACTCAAACTGATTAAAAAAATAATAGTAATAGTGGGCAACAGATGTTGTAGCCATATGTCACTGGACTCCCACGTGACCAAACACAGTTCTGGACCCGGTGGCTTGAAAATCATGCTTAGTGCATGTGTATGCATGACCAAGATCCCAGGAAGAGAATGGAGATGGAATTGTGGGGTGGTCATCCCCCATGGGGTGATTTGTCACTTTCCCTCTCACTACCTCTCTCTCTCTCTCTCTCTCTCTCTCTGTGAGGGCACATGCTGAAAGGCAAAAAAAAAAAAAAAAGAAAAGAAAAGAAAAAGAAAAAAGAAACTCTAAAAATAATAATAAATAATAATAAATAAAATTGAATAAGTAATTCAATTTCTTTTTTGAGAGGTTTTTGCTATAGGGCACAGAAAGTGATTTCTCATTTTCTGTGATTTCTCACTTTCTGATTTCTCACTTTCATCCCTCAGAGGGGATGGCCATGCCACAATCCCTTCTCTTCCATTCTCATCTTGGGATCTTGGACATGCCTGGACACATGCCCAGTGTGAGTTTATGCCACCAGGTCCAGGACTCAAACCATGGTCAACTACATGGAATTCCAGTGACATAGCCATTACGCCAACTGCTGGTCCCTGAATAAGTAACTTTAAAAAAATTAAAAAAAAATACCTGATGCTTCCATGCTTTCATCTTTAAGCTCCTTACTTATCTTTCAATTTGCTTAATGACCTAGTCATAGGAATAGAACTCTATAGTTAAGTGAGTAGTGCATTATATATTATTTATTCAGATTCATATTTTATAATTGCATTATGGTAAATCTAGAGAACTTGAACAAAACCCAAAATTGTCTGATTTGTTCATTAAAAGACTGTTTATTTTCATTCACCCCTAATTATCAAAGTCTGAGTTGGATAAAACTCAGTATAGACATGTGCTTGCCAGATAGTACATGTGCTTGCCAGAGAGAGATAAAAAGAGAGAGATGCATAGAATGAAAGAGAAAGTGAGAATCACCTCCCCAGCAAGATAGCCATGCTATAGTCTCTTCTCCTTCATTAGCCTCCTGGGGTCTTGAGCACACTTATCTGGTGTAATTTTCAAGCCACCAGGTCTGGGATTTGAACTATTGTTGTCCACATGGGAGTCCAACTATGCAACCACTATGGCATCTGCTGGCCCGAATTTATGGAAGCTTTAAAAAACAGTAAACCGGGCCAGGCAGGTGGTGTAGCAGAGCATGCATGATGCTGAGGTCACATGAGAAGGTCCTAGGTTGGCGTCCTTAGGTCTTTCTGTGTATGTCAGGATCAGGCTTTCATTCCTGTGATCCCCATGTCCCCATGGATGGAGGCTGGAGTAGAAGGCTGCGTGAAGACCCTGCTCTGTGTGCCTGACTCTCTTCTCTTTGTCTTTCTCTCTCTCTCTCTCTCTCTCTCTATTTCTCTCTAGCTTCCTCTCTCGTGGAAGACATAAATAAAACAAACTTTAAATAATAGTAAATCTTTGATTATTTTATATTATACAGATATTTGTTCCTTAGTTGTCTTTTGAGTTTGACTTTAGTAACAGTACAAGTTAATTGCATTTTTTATCACCTACTTTTTTAAAAGATGTATTTTATTTACTTTTATTCATAATTATTTTAATTATTATTATTATTATTAATTATTAATTTGACAAAAGAGAGAAGAGAAAGTGATAAAGAAAGTTGCCAGGTTTGGAAGTTGAACTACTGTCGGCCATGTGAGAGTCCAGAGCCTTAACCACAATTTACATTGTCTTTTTTGCCTTGCATGAAAACTTATTACTTCATTTTTTAACTATTTTTTTAACCATTAGTAGATATCTATAAACATTATTATTCTAAAAATTTATTTTTAAAAATATCAGGAACATTTTAAAGCTTAGAATTGCATAATCTCATTTTTCATTTTATGTCTTATTATCTATTTTAAAAAAGTTGTTTTAATATAACTATATAACTATCTTTTTTTTTGAGAGGTTTTTTGTTTTTTGTTTTTTGTTTTTCACTATAGGGTGTGTGTGCTCGCTGGACAGACAGAGAGAGACATAGAGACAGAAAGCGAGAAATCA